TTGACATTGTCCCACATTCCTTCATAGATGTTTCTGATTCTCTTCCCAGCGAGAATGACTTCATTTGTGAAGATGTTCTTGAGCGATGCCATGTCCATGCAGAATTCCAGAGAATAACCTTTATAACAGAACTGACTTATGGTAAGAAGGTTATAGTTGAGACCTTCCACATAAGACACGGGATGGTTAATCCCTTAAACACCAGATTTGCTAGCCCCTTTGTAAGGCCAAAATCATTGCTTCCTCCAAAAGTAACTCTTGTACCGTCATAGGGAATTAGATTGCTCAAAAGGCTCGCATCACCCGTCATGTGTCTTGAACAGCCACTGTCTAAGTCCCAGACACCTGGGTACTTAGCGGCTTCCTGCGTTAGGAGGAGGAAGATTTTGGTACCCAATTCAGTTTGGGTCTGGAATAGTTAATGGTGTGTGTCCCCACACCAAGTTTGAAGTTGCAGGGAATTTTCCTTGCAGCCCTAAATTTGTTGGGGTTGTAATCATAGTTGTAGGCGTAAAACTTCCTACGTGCAGGTGGTGCGATTTCATGTTTCCTCCTAGCAAACCTAGGTTGATAAGACCTATAGTTTTGTCTAGGTTGTGCATAGTGTGGCCTGTGATGGTTGTGAGCATACTTAGGTGGAACAAATAGTTTCTGGGGTGGAGGATGACTATATCTTGGCATAGTTCTCCACTCAAAATTTCTTAGAAAACTTCTATCTACCCCATAATCAGTATAGCCTTGTGTATAGTGGGGATTAGAAGGTTTTCTTCTGAGATTGTTTCCTCTTTGAGGTGTGTCCAGCTTCCTATAATTTTTAGGAGGGACTGCTTTTATGGGAACTTCTATAGGTTTCTCCTTCTCCTTACCTTTCTGCTTATTGGGTTTGGCAGTAGGTTTGGGAGGGATAAAAGTTGTTCTCCCTTTCCTTTTGGAACTGGAGGGGTCAAAACCAAGTCATTCACGACCCTTATGTTTGGTCTTTTCAAGAAGCTTATCCACTGCTTCTTTGGACTTTAGTATCCCTAGCTCCTTGTTGAGGGATTTCACCTTTTCAGAAAGAGATTCATTCTCAGCCTTGAGTTGAGTAATCTCACTTAGTTGACTTTTCCGACCTTCAGTCAACTTGAGATTCTCTTCACTCAATAGCTTGTTCTCCTCTGATAGGGATGAGTGTTTAAGATTTATTTCCTCAAAATCTTCCATCATCTTTTTGAACTTGTCAAAAAGATTTTCAGAAGTTGGTATGCTTTCAAAAGAAGATGAACAGGAGGTTTGTGAAGTTATCTCTTGTTGAGCATCATCTTTGGCCATTAGGCAGAGGGTGTCGTCTTATGACATAGTCCACCGATCCTCATGGTTGGACTTCTCAGCTTTGCGCTCCATGCAGATGAGGGCGTCTTCATCCGATCTTGAACTGGATGACTCGTCACTTTCAGCTTCTACCATTGCCTTCTTCTTCTTCTCGTTTCTTTCTCTTTCTCCGTACTTCTCTACTTTTGGGTACGGGCATGCTGACTTCTAGTTGCCAGGCTTCCTGCAGTTATGGCACAAATAAGATTCAGGAGGGGAGTCGCTTACCTGTAGCTTCCCTTTGGATGGCCTTCTGTAAGTCTTCTTGAAGAACTTCTTGAACTTCCGTGTTGGGAAAAATATCATAGATTTTGATGATGATGTATTTAGAATGTAATAGGGACTTTAGGTCTCCCCATATATTCAATGTAATTTTTCCTTTTAGAAATATTGTTAAAACCAAGTTCTTGAGATTTCCATTAAAGTTGTGATATTTCTTTAAGCGGTTTGATGCCTGAAGACTTAATCAAATTCAGAAATTTGGAAATTGGATATCTTGATCGGAAATGTCAGAGACAAGTAAGGATCTCTCAAAGCAGACGAAAATCCTCCTATCCGGAAGACTACATGAGAACCGGATGTCTCGTTACAACCCGCTGAAGGCTAAGTCAGAAGACTAGCATGGATTTCTTTCTCACCTGGAAGACTGAGTATGACTCTTCCGTATTTGTCAGCTAAGAACCGGATGCCTCAAGGAAGACCGAAATTCTCAAAAAGCGGACAAGTGAGAAAAGACTTAGAAAATTATCTAAGTCTTGAATGAAGAAATTCTACCCGTTGGTAAGGAAAAATCAATCTCTTGATTTTCAACGGCTAGATTGAAGATAATTATGCTGATTCAAGAACAAATGACTCGAAGACAAAATCTGGACCTCTAAAAATTGAAGAACCTGTCCAGAATTCCTAAACAAGCACTAGAAGACAAATAGAGTAAAGTGCTACAGTCCAGAATTCTTGAACAACAGCTAGAAGACGGATTCTATGGAAATAGGAATCCCTCCTTTAACAATTGGGTATGTCCAAACACCCATTTCAATGAGGAATCTTCAAATCACAATCTTCATTCAAAATTGAAGCCAACAAATGCAACAGATAGTCTATTTTGATTCAACGGATAGATTATCCAATCCAGCTATAAATAGCATCCTTGGAAGACTGGGGAGATATAGAGAACTCATCAACGATAAGAAGAACAACCACAAAGAGGCTACCTCATTCACAGTTAGCCCAAAAAGCTTGATAAATAGAGATTTCTAAACTCCTTATCCAGAAGCAAACTTCTCCTCCTTCCAAAGAGCTTTAGTGTAAATACTTGAGGGTTTCCTTGCCTCAAGTACCACACCACGTTGAAGGATACAACTTTTGATCAAACTTATTGATTGAAAGGGGGTAGGTCAACTTTCTTACAAGTTGGTCTTGCAAGTCCTATTGTTCGGACCTTGCAGTTGTTGAAGAAGCGTGATCTTCGAAGGAACAACAAAGCCAGCACGAGTGTAGTAGCAACATTGGCCTTGCGAAGATATACCGTGCAGAAATTCACACAAGTGTAATTGTTGGTTCATTATTCAACAACCAACTACATAGTGGATTTTGAGGACGTAGAAGGATTACCCCACCTTCGAACCTCGTTAAAGTTTGCGTGTCTCTCTCTTTTATCTTTATTCTTACTTGCGATTATATTAACTGTGAAAACTAACCCATCCATATTGATTACTGCTCACTCTACCCACCAACTTCCGCACACAATCTAAAGTGCACAAGAACTCTAGATTAACACTCATTTTCACGTTTTCAAAAGAAACGAAAAACTTTTAAATTTGTAACAAAGTCTATTCACCCCCCCTCTAGACTTGGTATCTCACCACTTAGGGACCACCATTCCGAAACTGCTTGATCATCATTGCAAGCTCCTCTTCGTAGTTCTCCGTCTTTGAACTCGGTGGCTGGCTGGAGGAAGGAGTGTCACATTTCCGTGGGCATGTCTCTTCGCTTGCTGGGACTCTGGGAGTTGTCATCAGTGCCGTGGGAAATGGAGTGACTTGTTCTTCCTTCTTCTTCTTCAGCTCGTGCTCATAGGTTCTGAGCTCATCTATGAGACCTCGGACAATGTAGTTCTCCAGATTTCTTCCTTCTTCCATGGCTGTGGCTTTGGTGTACCACTCAGCTGGAAGAGACCTCAGTAACCTTACATTCTTTTCTTTGAGAGAAAGAACGTGGTTAAGTGATGCAAGATCATTTAGAATCTTGTGGAATCTTTCATCCATCATGTCAAATGATTCTTCGGGAAGAATTTTGAAGCCTTTGAACTTCTCAAGCAGAACCTCTATCTTCTGCTTTCTTAGGTCCTCCGATCCCTCACACAACTTCCCAAGACCTTGCCATATCTCCATGGCAGTCTTGACATGCTTGATTTTTGAAAAGGTGATGGGATCAAGTGTCTTCAAAATGGCTGCCTTGGCGATGTTTTCCAGATTGTGCTTTTTGCAATCTCTATCATCCCATTTCTCCTTGGGCTTAGGAATATACTTTACTACATCTGGATTTGTTGGATTCCTCTCTGGATTCTCCATTTGAATCTTCAAGGGTCCATCTTCAAGCACCATCCACATGCAATCATGTAGGGCATAGAGATGTGCTTCCATCATGATCTTCCAATCATCATAGCCTAGAAGAGAAAACTTGGGCAAACCGTGATCCATATTGTTCACCATTATGATCGCTTCTCGTTAATCTAGAGGTAGATGGTGAGAAGTAGGCTTTGATACCTATTGGTGGTCCCAAAGTGGTGAGCTACAAAGTCTAGAGGGGGGGTGAATAGACTTTGTTACGAGTTTAAAAGCTTTTTCGTTTCTTTTGAAAACGTGAAAATGAGTGTTAATCTAGAGTTCTTGTGAACCTTAGATTGTGTGCGGAAGTTGGTGGGTTATTAGAGCAGTAATCAATATGGATGGGTTAGTTTCGCAGTTAATATAATTGCAAGTATGAGTAAAGATAAAAGAGAGAGACACGCAAACTTTAACGAGGTTCGAAGGTGGGGTAATCCTTCTACGTCCTCAAAATCCACTATGTAGTTGGTTGATGAATAATGAACCAACAATTACACTTGTGTGAATTTCTACACGGTATATCTTCGCAAGACCAATGTTGCTACTGCACACGTGCTGGCTTTGTTGTTCCTTCGAAGGTCACACTTCTTCAACAACTGCAAGATCCGAACAATAGGATTTGCAAGGTCAACTTTTAGAAAAGTTGATGTATCCTGTTTTTAATCAAGAAGTTTGATTAAAAATTGTATCCTTCAACGTGGTGTGGTATTTGAGGCAAGGAAACCTTCAAGTGTTTACACTATAGCTCTTTGGAAGGAGGAGAAGTTTGCTTCTGGATAAGGAGTTTCGAAATCTCTCTTTATCAAGCTCTTTGGATAACTGTGAATGAGATAGCTTTGTTGTAGTAGATTGTTCAGTTGTATGTGTTTCGTGCTTTCTATCCCATGTTTTCATGAAGGGGATAGACTATCCGTTGAATAATCTCTCCAGTGTTCCGTGGAAGCTATATATAGCCGGGTGAATAATCTATCCGTTGAAGGGGATAGACTATCCGTTGCATTTGCTGGCTTCAATTTTGAACGAAGAGTGAGATTGAGCATTATATTTTTATCCTCCTCTAGTTTCTTCTTCCGGTACGGCTATAGTGCTTCAAGTTTGCAGGTATTCCGCTGTCTCTTCCTGCCTCTGCTCTTTAATTTCAATTCTTCCTACTTCAAAATCACAGCAATTTCGGTTTCCAAAAATTGGAAATCCCTTGAAATTTTAGCCACTTCCAAAAAAAATGAGGTTTTGTTGGTTTGCAAAGTTTGGATATCCCTTCAAACTTCAGGAATTTATATTAAAAATGAAGTTTTTTTGGTTTGTTACATTATTGGAATTCCTAAAAACTTCAGCCACTTCCAAAAAAGGACTCCATTTGAGTTTTGGGTGCTTAGCTTGTATAATTTAAAATTTCTATTGCTTAATATTGGTATATACCGCATGACTCTATGTATGTGACTTTTACTTTTGGATTTGTTGGTTGGTGTTTGGTGTTTTTATTTTTCAAAATTTGAATTGATTATTCTTTCTATTTCACCTGCTCTTTTATTTACTGCATATTAGAAAAAGTGCTTTGTTATCCACTTTTTTTTATACTAAAAACAAGTTCTCTATGTGTATGTGATTCATTAATTTAGATTGTTCATTGGTGTTTGGTGCTTTTATTTTGGGTAGAACACTTTTTTTAATGGTTAATGTTTTGATTTAAGTTCTTAATGCTTCATACAAGTGACTAAATACAATTCGTGTTTTGTTGATCCTGTTCCACTTGCTTTGCATGCTTATGCACTTGTAATTTTTGGTTCTCTTCACCATTTTTTTTAAAAAGGTATTTGTGTTCTTTTCGATTTCGAACTAAATTGTCTAGGCAGTTGTTTAGTTTCATGCTTGCGGTGTGTACTGCTTCTTTCTCAATCTCCTCATCATCTGTGATTTTTGTCCCATCCTTATCCACAATACATCATATTCTATTTTTGATCTTCTCCCTTTCACAAAAGAGTGGAAAATTTAGAATTATCATAGGCCATAATGAGAATAATGAGATTGGTTTAGTTCCAATCTGATTAATCAAAAAATTATTCTTATATTTGCAAATACTCACTTTACTATTACTTACATAATCAATTTTTATTCCACAAGAGCAAAATCCTAAACTTAATTTCTAACGAACTACTCCCAGTGTGTGGCTTTTCGATTTCTGCATATTATTAGTATGTGTGATTTAGGAGCAATATGTTAACATAGTGTCTGTAGTTTCTACTGTGCATTCAGGAGCAATGTGTGAATATAGTGTGTGTAGTTTCTACAGTGCATTTGGTAGCCTAAATTGGCCTATTCTACATCCAAAGAGTTAATTAAAATCTACTGAATTAATAGTCTACTTTGTTAAAAATCTCATTAAGTTTTTTTTCGGTTTACTCCCATGATGACCGCTTCCTTAGATTTTTTCAGGTTAGATAATATGTTCCCAAAGGTACCTTTGTTCCAATCCCTAACCTGGATTTTAAGACTATTGATTTTAGAGGCTAATCTAGACATCCCCCCATGATCAAAATTCTTTATCCACAAATTAGAGACCATAGTATGGAAGCTGTGATGATTCACCCATGCATTAATAAATCTGTATGGTTTAGGACCACCCTCATCAGTTTTCGCCCATCATAAGAGTACAAATTTGTCGACTGTGGTCAGTTGTGGCCTTACTGAGATGTTTGGGAAAAATATCCTCGTAAACTACCTCCCCTTGTTTTTAGATGTTTTTCATTGTGATTGAATCAATTAGAACTCATTAAATACCTATTTTGACTGTATTTGTTACTTGGGATTCTTTAGGCATTAGGTAGTTTTGATGTATGAGAGGAATCCAGCTGCTCCAGATGTAGTCCAGTATATTCCAAAGCCCAAGGAAAAATGGGATGATAGAGATTGCAAAAAGCACAATCTGGACAACGTCGCCAAAGCAGCCATCTTCAAGACACTTGATCCCATCACCTTCTCCAAGATTAAGCATCTCAAGACTGCCATGGAAATTTGGCAAGGTCTTGGGAAGCTATGTGAGGGATCAGAGGACCTGAGAAAGCAGAAGATAGAAGTCCTGCTTGAGAAGTTCAAAAGCTTCAAAATGCTTCTTGGAGAATCATTTGATATGTTGGATGAAAGATTCCACAAGATATTGAATGATCTTTCTTCACTTAACCACATTCTTTCTCCCAAAAAAAAGAATGTAAGGTTGCTGAGCTCACTCCCAACTGAGTGGTACACCAAAGCCACAGCCATGGAAGAAGGAAGAAACCTGGAGAACTACACTGTTCAAGGTCTCCTTGATGAACTCAGAACCTATGAGCACGAGCTGAAGAAGAAGAAGGAAGAACAAGTCACTCCCTTCCCCACGGCATTGATGACAACTTCAAGAATCCCATCAAGTGAAGGGACATGCACAAGAAACTGTGACACACCTTCCTCCAGCCAGCCGTCAAGCTCAAAAATGGAGAACTACGATGAGGAATTTGCCATGATGGTCAAACAATTCCGGAAGTTCAAGAAGTTCTTCAAGAAGGCTGATTCAATCAGAAGGCCATCCAAGGGAAAGCCACAGGTAAGTGACTCCCCTCCTGAATCTTATTTATGCTATAACTGCAGGAAGCCTGGCCACTAGAAGTCAGCATGCCCGTACCCAAAGGTGGAGAAGTACGGAGAAAGAGAAAGGATCGAGAAGAAAAAGAAAGTAATGGTTGCTGCTGAAAGTGACGAGTCATCCAGCTCAAGCTCGGATGAAGAAGCCCTCGTCTGCATGGAGCGCAGAGTTGAGAAGTCCAACCATGAGGATAGGTGGACTATGTCAGAAGATGACACTCTCTGCCTAATGGCCAAAGATGATGCTGATCAAGAGGTAACCTCACAAACCTCCTGCTCATCTTCTTATAGCATACCAACTTCTGAAAATCTTTTTGACCAGTTCAAAAAGATGATG